GAACCGAGACAGTCGAACCGAACGGTTCGGACGGTTTTCATAAACCGTTCCATCCCTACTGTGTAGCAAATACGGCAAAGAAAACAAACATGATTACTCTGTGGGTGGCTGTCAGTCTATGGAATCTGGAGAGTATCTGTGAACATAGACACAGTAAAAGAAACATTGACTGGATGTCCATTTCTCAGGCTCAATAGAAACAACCCATCACACAGCAGCTGGAGGAGACGCTGATGGACATATGAACACAAACACACAAAGATGAAAATATTGTTCTGCACTGCTCATGCTACTGGAGGAAAGGCTGCTCTTTTAGTTATGGACAATATAGATATTTGTTTACATAGATAATTTTACAGATAGTATTTCATTAGTCTGTGTAGGGTATAGATTTCATGTAGAATTAAGATAATAAATATACCCGTTATTTTTTCTACATCGCTGTGACGTTTTGGCGATCTCGCAATCCCTAGTTTTTTTGGCTCTGCACTGCCGTAGCACAAAGATGTCTGCCTCCATGGCTGCGAGACCCGCTCCTCTGTAATTATAAATAACGAATTCTAAGGCAACGCAAATGTTAAGGTCAAGAGGCTGAGCTCGTAGATGATGATAAAATAACATAGTTATGTATAATATATTACATTTCTGACTGTATATCCCTGTATTTATTACACACTGTAGCTTTAATATTTCAGACCTGTTTCAGATCTTCAGGCCCACTATGAATGTATTAAATGACCCATTTCTACAGAGGTTAAAAAAGCAGTTTTTATAGTGCCCCATAGTTACCACATTTAATTATATTCTTCATATTTGCTGGTGCTCCAATGGAAGAAAATCAAAGGAAAATATATGAAAGGAAAAAAAAAGAATTGCTCATACCGTATTTTCATGACCATAAGGCGCACTGTACTAAAAGGCGCAGTCTTAGTTATGTGTGCCATTTCTGTATTTAACACACACATAAGGTGCATCGGACTATAGGGCGCGGGTTTTATATACCGGTACATGTCCTCTACTACGTTTAAATACCTCTACTGCGTATTTAAAATTAGAGCGGGAGCAAAACTGAGTATGTTTGTGCTTTATTCATGTATTTATTACAAAGTATTAATCAAACCTGGAAGCTGGCCGTGAGAGACACATCGCTGATGACACAGAGCGCTGTGATCACTCCTCTGAAACAGTTTATTGACGCATAAATTACCTTAAAATGCAGAAATCTGCCGGCAGAATATGTTCGCTTTTATTATCCTGGTGCCTGCAGTTTAGATTATTTAGATGAAAAACACCTACTAGCTGCCGCTGTGAACCACGAGGAGGCGACCCGGCCAGAGGCTGCTGTTGAATGGGATTCCTACTGACAGCGCACCGCTGTATGTGGGGGTCTAAGCGGCTCCGACAGAAATAACATTGGAAGGCAGGATGCTAATCTGAATGATCTGACTGCAATAATTAAGTTTTCAGGTGGATTTTCTCACTTAAAAACATATTAAAACTACTTTATTCCCACTGATCACAGCAAATATAGCTGCAAAGCAAAGAAAGGATAGAGTAGCTCCGCCCAACGCGCGTCAGACACACTTTTGCACCGCGCAGCAAGAGCAGCAAAGCTGCTTCAGCCGCAAGTCAGAACTAAAATGGTACAAACAGCAAAAATGAAGCAGCAGACGCGTGAACGTAGCATTACTTTGAAGGGCCGGTTCACACCGATGTCGAGCTGTTGAAGTTCCTTTGTCAGACCCCCCGGAATAACAGCAAGCACAGCGTTCATTTGTTTCACCATGTTTTTCACAGCGGCTGTTAGATGGGCACGCATGGAGTCACAGATTAACAGTGATGGTGATGCGTGGAAAAAAACCACCTGGTCTCCTTACATTCACCTCCCTCAGCCACTCTTTCATCATCTCCTCAATGAGGAGATGATGAAAGACACTTCCCCCTTTAACGTTCTCATGGTGGTCTTAACAACATCCGCAGTAACAACACACATAGGGCACACCACACTATAGGGCGCCCCGCACATTTTGAGAGAAAAAAAGACGTTTATATGCGCCTTATAGTCGTGAAAATACGGTACTTCTATAGAAACAGATTTTCAAACTGAAACATATATGTCTGGTTGATCTGTGGAGTGCCTTGAGATGACTTGTGTTGGAAAAGAGGAAATGGGCCAATTCAGAAGCTAGAGTTTTGACTGATAACCAATCATATAAAAACAGAAAACGGCCTTAATTTTCTCTTCTGCAGTGGGGTTGGGGGGGTTTATGGTAACTTTCATCGTTATGATAAATTTCAATGATATATGATAGCGGAAAGACTGCACAGTGTCAATTGTGGAGTCACAGAGGGTGATGGCGATAGCTGGGGCTGAGTTCTTCCTGGGAACTATCATCTCATGGACCTAAAGTGGGAGCTGAACATCAACTCCCTCACCAAGAAAGCCCCACAGAGGATGTACTTCCTGCGGCAGCTGAAAATATTCAGCTTGCCAAGGACAATGACGGCGCACTTCTCCTCCATCACTGAGTCCATCCTCACCTCCTCCATCACCATCTGGTATGCTGGTGCTACCGCCAAGGACAATAGCAGACTGCAGCGTGTTATCTGGTCTGAAGAGAAGGCGATTGGCTGCAATCTTCCATATCTCCAGGAGCTGCACGCAGGATTCTGAGGCATGCAGGGAAGATTGTGGCTAATCCCTCGCACCCCAGCCACAAACTATTTCAGTCTATTAGTAGCCTTCTCAAAAAGGCCCAGAGACCCCTGTAACACTGACACTGCCTCTCTCCCTCCCCCGTTCAGGACCTAGAAGCAACGTAGCATCTCCAGACATTAATGCAACGCAACTGTGTATATAGCATATAGCTAGACACTATATATTGAATATAGTATATTGTATTTTTATATTGAATATAACTATAGATTCTGTGTTCTGTATACATATCTAATTTGTCTCCACCAAGTCAATTTCCTAGTAATTTGGCAATAAACTTGATTCTGATCTTTTTTTTTTATTATTTGATTCTATACTTGATAGAACTACCAGATGAAACTACATAATTTTCACCATTTTGTTTTTCACTGCAGTTTGAATTTTTAATATTGCCATTAATTCAATTGCGTATACTGATAGGCTGTTCTTCTCTTAATTTCTATTGTCTATGGAGAATATACACTGCTGCCTCAGTATGTCCTGATTCTGGATCTTTTGATCCTTCTGTAAATAACTTTGTCTAAAAAACGTTTGAATATTCATTGTTGTACAATAACACATTGTGGAGCTCCTTTTTCTTTTGTCTTGATTCATTTATGAAAATTCAAATCTACACATGTATTAATAAATAACCAGTATGGTAACTCTGAGTAAGGTACAGTTGCACATAACTATCTATCTTATGCATTTTGAGCTTTTGCAGTAGCAGTCCATCCAAAACTAAAGATTTTTATTTTACTGTGTTCCCAACACTCCTGTAAGATGGTTTTCAGCAAATGTCACTTAACATTATCCCAGTATATTATCATTTATTTTAATCTCCTACATGTAATTCATAGAGGCATTTCTCCAGTTTCAACTTGTAATGCTGTAATTTATAATGTTCAAGGTCAAGATGTTCCAAACTGTTATCTGCTGCTCCCATATAACTGATCATATCAAAAGTTAAAGTGATTGATTCAATAATGATGTTCTATTGTTCTCCCTAATCCGTTCCTTCTAAACAATGTAAAATATTTATATTTTTACATTTTGCCTTGACTTTTTCAATATGTTGTTTCTAAGTAAGCGTTTCATCAATATAAACAGGCTACCAATAAATCCAATAACTTTAATCTGCTCATGATTTTGACCAACCATTGCTAATTAGACCTTCATCTTCAGAGTTCATTCACACCACTGCTAATACCTGAAGGTTCTGGACTGGTCTGGTTCTCCTGTCGATGCTCCCTCTAGTTCCAGATGGATGATGATGAAGAAGATGGTGGTTTACAGCTAAATCTGTCTTTAAACATCAAGGAAGTCTGAAAGCTAACGCTGCTAACCACAGACATAATAAAAGAGAAGACCGCGCATCGGTCCCTTTCGCCTATGGACACTGACGTGATTTGGTGGCGCCATCTTGGGGCGGTCGACAGCTCCGCTTAGTAACCTGTTCTGAACAGGCAC